AACGTGTCGTCGATGCGGGGGAGTGGTTAGACGTCTTTCTTCGTCACTGCGTTCAGCTGCCGGTAGTCCACGCAGAACCTAAGCGTCCCGTCTTTGTTCTTAACCAGTACGACTTGGGAGGCCCAAGGACTGCTTAAAGGTTGAATTATGTCGTCGTTCAGCATCTCTTGAACTTGCTCCTGGATCACCTGCCTTTCTTTAACGGAGACTCTGTATAAAGATCGATGCACCGGGCGCGCATCGTCCTCGATAACGATGCGGTGCTTCGCAACGGCGGTTTGGCGCACCTTCGACGACGACGCAAAGCAGTCGTGGTATTCGGAGAGGAGGTTAATCAGCTGACGTCCTTACGGACCCGGAAGCTTAGGGTCAATGTCGAGCTGCTCTGGCGAGGTACTGTCCTGCTGAAGTGGCGAGGATTCGTCAGTAATGGCGGCGATTTCGGCGGTGTTTCGGAGTTCCTCGATGTGGCCAACGGCTGCACCTTTCGTGAGGTGTTGCGCTTCCTTTCGGAAGTTCGTCATGAGGACCACAGTGCGGCCATCTTGAAGTTCGGCTACCCCTCTTGCGGCACCTATTCCTCTTCTTAGAACGAACTGGAGACTCCCCTCTTGCAGAATTTCGCGCAGAAAGCTTCGGTGATCCCGACAGGCACGAAGACATTCGACCGCGGTGGAAAGTTCACGTGACTTGCGAGGACTCGGACCGCGGATGACGTCGATTTGAGTTCCTCCGGTGGTGAAACAGGTTTTCGTAGAGTTAGCCGGTTTGCTCCGAGGCCGATGACGGCGCCATACTCGCAGAAAAAGTCCATTGCGGGAATAACGTCCCTCGAACAGTCTTGCAGGACGACGAACTTGACATGGCACGTCTCACCATGGATCTCGACGCGAGCAGTGCATCTCCCAACTGGTCTAGTCAGGTGTCCTCCGGCGGTTCTTATTTGTGGCCAATCTCACGGCGTCATGACTTTTCGAAGGCGGCGGGAGAGCCTCCCACTCAAGACGGAGTAGTCTGCTCCGGTGTCCACGAGTGCCGATGCGTCGAGGCGGTCGATAACAACGTTTAGGTTGTTGGACACCGATGCAGGAGCGTCGTTGTGATGCGTAGCGTCGAGAGAGTGGGAGCGCTCCGTTGTTCTTGGAGGCTCTTTACGTCGGTCGTCTTCGGTAACTCTATCTTCAGGGGTTGCCGCGCCTAGTTTCCCCGGCGAGGAGCGAGGGGCGACAAGCTTTCACGTCGGGGTCGGTGCATCGGCGAAGCTGGACGTCGCGGCGACGGCGACAGGAACTCTCGGCGAGAAGCAGGCTCGGGGGACTGGGGTCGTCGCAAGTACTCGTCGATCTCCCGAGGTCGTTCACCATACCGGGGGCGCGGGTCGTTTGGGTGGAATCCACGGAGCCCGAGACGTCGGTATGGGCAACGGCGGTACACATGGTCAGCTTCCCCGCAGTGGTAACACAGCGGGCGTCGGTCGGCCGTCCTCCAGACATCTGTCTTCCTCGGCGCCGGTTGCTCTGGGCGAACGTTCGCCTGATCTTCCTGTCGTCGGGGGTACTCCGGCGCTGGGGCGTCTCTACGGGGTGGCGCCGTGGTTTGGCGGGGAGCTTGCGGCGGGCGTCGGGCCATGGCGGCGTAGCTGAACGTCAGTTCGTCCGTTGCCACCGTGCTGACGGGAACCTCTGGTTAGAGCACCCGATGCACTTCTCGGACAGCCTCGGCGATGGAAAGGGTTGGCGGACGACTGGCGGTTGGCAGCAACCTTCGCAGTTCCTCCCGGACGACCTCCCGGATAATTTCCCGGATATCCGGCGTACCGGGAGTGTTTTCGCCGTTAAGCAGCATGGGTACAGCGACGCCTGGATGCCGCTGGTAGTGGGAAGCGCGCGCTCCATATCGGTCCCCTCCGTGACGAACGCTTCGACGGTGGTAGGCGGGTTGCGGTCGAGGCCTTCGAAGATGTCTTCTCTTACACCTCGCATCAAGATCCGCCACTTCTTTTCGTCGGCGGCTTGAGGGTCGGCGCGAGTGACCAGGTGCAGGACATCCTCGATGAAACTGGTGATGGTCTCGTTTGCGCCCTGGGTCGTCATTCGAAGAAGGTCCTCGGCTCTCTACCGTCGATACTGCTTGGTGAAGGTTCGCGTTAGCTCAGCCTGGCAGAGGGTCCACGACATCAACGAAGTCTCGCGATTATCGAACCAGTGCCTGGCCGTTCCTTCGAGCGCGAAGTGAAGATTCTGCAGGCGCTGGTCGTCCGTTCATTGGTTGTGCTGGGCCACTCGCTCGTACTGTTGAAGCCAGTCCTCGATGTCTTCATAAGGCTCACCATGGAAGGACGTGGGCGTGCGAGAAGCGACGGGTAGGACAACGACGGGTGGAGTGGTCATCGTCGCGGTTCCCTGCTCTGGTTTCCGCGGCAGGGGTTCGAGTCCCGGAGGTTGGTCTTTCGTACGGCGGCTTGCTCGGACGTTGGCGTCTTCAGCGAAGGGTAGCCTTCCGGGGCTGAGCACTGCACTTGGCCGGGATGTCTTCGTAGGTGTACGCTTCACGGGCATAGAAAGCGATACCCCATACCTCCACCAATATGTCACGAATGACTAGTGATGAGGCGATAATAACTGGGGAAACTAAACGTTTAATGGGGCGAACTTGTGCCCTAAAATAAAAAGGGAACAAAATAAAGCAGAGCGTCGTGGGCGTCGAAGTCGGCGTGACAGCAGAATCGAACGCTGGGGCGAAACTGACTTTGGCTCACCACGCGAAACCCCTTATGTACACGCGTGGGCTTCTTGAATAATCGGCGTAGAAAGTTCGACCCGTATAACACTTCGACCTCGAACAAGCAACAGGATTCGCGAATTTTCCAGAACACTAAATTGCAGGAATAAACAAAATACACGTCGCTCCCAGGAATCGAACCCTGGCTTTTCGCGTGGGAGGCAGGCGCGATAACCGTGAGGCCAGGCGCGCGCTGCCTACTTGGCCGGCTGCGTGCGCGGCAATATGGCCTTTTTTGATGCTCAGAAAGGCATGAAGAATATTTTTCGGTTTAACTGAAACTGAAAGCTCGTCGCTTGTTATCTTTACGCGTATCGCTTCGTGATTACTTCGACATTATTTGTTGCTAACACCGTTATCTCATTGCCGCACGCAGAGCAATAGCAAATGTTCATGACTCGCGTCGCCCAGCCTTTCTTATGCTGCGTAAAAAATATTGAATTTTGTTTCTGTATAGTTTAAGATAGCTCTGCCTTTGAGGTGTGGCAACACTGGTTTACGGTTTAGATGAGAAATTTAGACCGTACACTAGCACTATGGTGCGTGGAGCGCGTCTTTGACTGGTGTGTTTAGCGTCCTATCTCACTCTAACCTCCAAAGTGGCCCCTAAGTGGCAACAAATGACGTCACACAAGCCGAAGACTCATGATGTTGCATGTCACGATCTTCTCGGTTTGTCGTAGAAATACTGGCGAAAAGCACCAGCGAAAGCGAGTGTCGCTCTCGTCGTGGCGTTCAAACTTCTGGCTGCAAAAGCTTCCGTGGAGTGTCAAGTTCGAAAGCGACCTGCAGTTGAGCAGGCGACTGCAACATCCACCGACGCCGCTGGGACACCACTAGGATAGCCACCGGGGACATCATGACACTTCAGTGGCGTCATCAGGCGGGAATAGAGGGACCGCTTTTTAGAGCGCAGCTCTTAGGGGTCCGTTCCCGGCTTGAGCGGCGTCGGCGTAACCAAGGTCACCCCAAGGTCACGTGGACCCCAAGGTCACGTGACCCCCAGAGGTCACGTGATGCATCCCCCAGGGTCACGTGACCCCCCGCGAGGTCACGTGACCACCCCCAGGGTCACGTGACCCCCACCGGCATACCGGCATACGTCACCGGCATCCGCATCGTCCTCATCACTGATGACGTCATCAGTGACGTCACCTCACTGGCATCCGCATCGTCATCGGCATCATCACTGATGACGTCACCGACATCCGCATCGTTATCGTCATCATCGCTGATGACGTCATCGGAGTCCGCATCGTCATCGTCACTGATGACGTCATCAGTGACGTCACTCATGACATCATCGGCATCGTCACGTGGCCCCCCAAGGTCACTTCACCCTCCCCAGGTCACTTCACCCCCCCCCTAGTACCCTTCCCTCCTCCTCCTCAAGAGCTGCGCTCTATTTCGGTGTTACAGGGAGTTGTAAACGGCTTTCACTTTTTGGCGCTTTAAACATACCAGTCGGAGACGCGTTCCAGGCACCATAGTACCACTGCTATACTACGTTTCAACGTATGTTGTACGGCAGCGAAGGCTAGAAGCTCGAGCTCATACCGTTGGCAGCTGCCATTAACGCACGAGAGCTTGTGCCGCCGAGACGTGCCATAGAGCAAGGAGATCGGGCGTGTAGACTTCCCTCCGGTACATCATAAGGTGAAATAGGGTATACGGAGCGCAATTTTGTCTGCTTCTGCGCCGGGGTTGCGTTGATGACAGAACGCCGAGCTATTACTGGCTGATTAAAAAAAAGGCAGTGAGTTGACCTCGCGGCTTCTAGCATTAAGGTCTCCCCACTATCCTTCCAATCAAAGCCATTCGGGACTGGGCGCCTTTCTCACGCAACCGCAACCCCTGCACAAGAAGCAGACGACTTGCTCTCCGCAAAGCTTGGGGTCTTTAGCCTCCATCATGCTGTAGAGAGAGAGGACCGCACGCCGGTGGGATGCTCATCCAGACCTAAACGGGCTGGGGCGAGGTCTTAATCTGTCCATGACTACAAAACCAGCGTTAAATTATTTGTGTCCTGACGCCGAAAACAAGCTAAGTTGCATGTGTCAGTAAAATATATAATGCTCAAATTAATTTTATTCTTAGTAGAAGAGCGTGTTGGTTTAAGTCATGGATGAAACATGTAGTTGTGTTGTCCCTGTTTTAATTGTTTATTCTTTCTTCATCCATGACTTAATTTTATTCTCTCCCTTTAACCTTGTTTCTAGGTTCGACCTTGCAAGTGTTGAAAAAGGCATACTTTCCAACGCCGTTTTGGGTACGAGTATACATTTACCGCTTATGATGCATTCACAGTAAAAATTCAAGTGGGGACCATTGCTGCTCGCTTTTTGCTCAGACTGTAGAGAGAGTTTGAAATAATTTTCCTGCGGAAGATGGGGCGAGTAAATTACGGTAAACAATATAAGCATCACGGCGAATGTCAATACTCACGATACGACTCAACACCAAAAAGGTGATGTGAGCAGCTACAATGAGCATGACGTTTGACTCTATTTATCGTACCTGAACACATTTTGTTTTCAAAGTTGAGTCGTACTGTGAGCGTCGCCAATCGCCGTGACCCTCTCATTCTTGGCCGCGATTCACATTCCCCATGCTCTGCAGGAATGTGAACTCGCAGAAGTATTTTAGAAAGTAGATCTTCCTGTATAACCTTGAGTGGTGACTTCAATTTGTCTAAGACTTCAAACAAGCACTAATGAACCTGTCCTTTGTCCACTCAAAAAAATCTAGTAGCATCCGAAAAGACACATTACAATGGCTAAAAACATTATGTTTTTTTCACCTTAAGTCTTGACTCAGCCGACGCTTCGAGCTGATGGGACCAAACAGACAGCGTTAAACATGCACCGCCATGGTGTTCGTCATGTTTCTGTACGTGTTCTTTCATAGCTGAACCAATCATAAGCAAAAAAGGTTTGCGACTCGAGCCTGTCGCAGTGCTTATTTGATGGGTCCCATCAGCTCGTAACGTCAAGCTACGTCTGCACTTTAGCTGGAACGAATTAAAGAAGCATTCCCGAATCAAATCAGTGGTTATACACTCGTCAAACACAAAGCTGGAACAAAAAGTTCGGGGAGGGCACTATTTTGAGTTCGGTAAGACAAGCGCGGCATCATGGTCGCAAGATTTCATTCGACGCGCTTCGCAAACTTCGCCCCCAATTTTGTGTTTGACGAGTCCAGAACCCCACGTATATTCTGGAACAAATCATCTCTACAATTATTATATCTTCATGGCTCATGAGACACGTATCCCTGTGAAGATTTTCGAAAACTAACACAGGCAAAATTTTGCGTTTTTAGAGTTTCCGCCGTCAGAATTAAAAGATTGCTCACCATGTCGTCCGCGGCAGTCGTAAAACTCACGTAAATGAACAGACGTCTTTGCACCACGGCAGACTCACCCTCCAATCCCTTAGCAAAAGCCGGTTGTACTTGAAACGTATTTGAAATATATTGAATATGCATATTCATTTCGTATTCATTCTGCATTATTTTGTCCTCATTCAAATTATGCGTGTAAGGAATTCAAGATAAATCGTAAATATTATTCAAAAAATATTTGAAATATAGCAAAAATATAAATCCTTTTCCCTCAAGATGCCATCTGTGTATAAAGAACCGAATACAAGGTTTTCATTTTGGATTTTGTTAGTAAACGTTGTCCCTGTGGTACTTGAACGTACTACTTACACACATTAGAACGAACACAAAAACAGAACTACACATTAGAAACGAACACAAACACAAACAGCATAAAGCACTGATCACCTAAATTACAATTCCACAATTCCGTTGACTGCTCCAGAGCCTTATATATCCTACATATTAACGGTAATAATTTGGCCAGTGATCACCTCTGCACTTATTAAGGTTCCAAGCATTCTATCTTCTCCTCGGGAGTCTTTCAAGGAGAAAAATGTGTTTGGAAGTTCGTGGACGATATCTCTTACTAAAAATCATTGGTGCAACTAATAATAAATCGGCGCAGTCTCTAAAACATACACAAAATCGACTCCTTGCAAAATTGTGATCGCTTCTCTGCATAGCACCACTCAGAACGAAACGAGTCAAGGCAGTTTCTCCAGTTTAAAATAGTTATCGTGATTTTCTTTATTGGTTGACTGTTTAATGTGGTTGTTAAAGTCTCTAAGTTTTTAAAGTCAGTGTATTAAACTCACTACTCACATCACGTTCAATGGTGAGTATACACATTCAGTGAACTAACATTGTGCTGACACAACCACGCCAAACATGTCTGCAGGCAGCACTTGCTGAAGCTTTGCAGCATCAGCAAGTGTTGTGGTTGTAGATGCCTAATTCCGTTTGTGATTGGTGTGCAAGAAACTCATCAGGTGCGTTTTTTTATAAAAAAAGAAAATAATAACATAACTGGGCTGATTTATCAGTGTGATGCTGCACAACTCAATTCACAAACTACCAAATGTTGTATTTATAGACTTCACTCTACTCCACGTCTGCTTGAAATGAGCTTCTAATAGGCGAGTTTTCAATACTTCGGTAATTGTAAATTTATTTTGTATGCATGTAAATTGACGTCAAAAGATACTTAGAGTATAACACAACCGTATTTACGATTTTCAGCATGTTTAAAGTCTACTGCACATATTATTAATCGATGCATTTTCATTAGGGTACGAGAATATTTTGCATAAAATAAATTAATATTTTCAGAATTCAATGTGAAAGGTATTTTGTGCCTACTAGTTTAGTATTTACCCATTTCGAAATGCATGAAGATAACTTCAAGTGTAGCAGAAATAAATGTATTTTGAAAAGATTTTCGGAAATCTATTTCAGTACTAATAAAACAAAGAATTTTATATTTTCGATATATTTTTTGTGTACGTATAACTATGACCTCTAGTTGAAATACACTGGAAATAGAATATTTTATATTTCGAACGTCTTAGTTTTCGCTAAGACCTCATCCGGTTTTTACTGGCGGCAGTGATTGAAGCGGCAGTGGTTGAAGTGCCAGCAGCTTTCAGCGACAGGCTATCGTCGCCGAATGAAGCCCCAGCTTTTGAAAGTGCTTGAGCCAGTTTCCATTTAACCCTTTCGTTTCTCGAGGTTGACGTTGAGTATACAGTGAAATTTCCGGTTGCAGCCTGCCGAACAAATAAGATACTGCTGCACCGCGTAGAAGCGCATGACCAGCAATACTACCTAGAATAATCAAGACCTGTGGATCTAGATGTGTTACATCATCACAGTAAGAACGAGTGAAGTCCCGGATGGGACACGATTACCGCGTCATCATTTGGCTGGGTCTCGTTTTTTGGTCAAAGCGTCGAAGAACGCTCGACTTAGGGTTAGGGTCCAACTACTGAATTGGCGCCATCCGACTGCTATGGCATTCCATAAAGGAAGAAAAGGATGTTTACCGGGGCTTGATTGTTTTAGGTGGTGTTGTCCGCACAGATAAGTCACCGGAGGACTGCAACCCACGTCATTATTGTGCTGTGCCATACAATAGGCGCAAGTCCAACTAAACAGACTACGTAAAAAGTAACATAAAATATAAAGCACTGCTACTTATGCGCACGTAAAGGGAAGATGCCCCACAATGACTTAAAGATAACACAAAATATCTGAATATTACCAATGATGGGTGAAAATCTTTTTTAGAGCTTGTAATGTTGTTTGCTTTTATTGTTCCTGAAAAAATGACGCTGCCAACGAAACAATGGAGGGAAGACTGCTCCACCTTCTCAAAAACGAAGCCTATGGCTAACGACGACACCGAAATTCGAAGAATTCCTCACTCGAAAGTAGCTAAAGTTTGGGCACGTTTTGGGTCACGGGGACCCCAAAAAATGCGGTGATCAATATTTTCACAAGATTTTTTTTGATACCTCCGATGCCCCTGATGACGACAGTCTACAGCGCTACCCCATACTCCCTGTACAAAGCCGGCTGCAGAGTATCGAGTATCGGTATCGGAGTCATCGGAACGATCTACTAAAACTTTTTGTTGTTTAATTTTGCCCTAATACCCAGTCCTAAATTTTGTTTAGATATCATATTGTTATACGATAATAATAAATGATAGAACCAAAAAGAGCTTTTTCTTTAACAAATCCCGCTTTTGAATTGCGTCTTTTCTAAAGAAGGGGAACGAAATATGTTCAGCAAAACTATCAATATTTCAGCCTGATCAAAATGTCTTATTCCTTTCAAACGTAAAGAGTTTATTCTATGCGATCAATGAGTGTCTAAAGTATGCATTGTCCCATTATCACAGATTGTGAGTGACTACGTGAACAGATTAACAGGATTTAGTACACTTATCTACCTGCACCAGCCAATAAAATTATTTTCCCTTGTTACGCAATTTGATCTATGCGTAATCTTATATTGAAGTGTGGCGACTGCCTTCGTACTTTTTATTTATAACTGTCATCGTAAAAAAATAAACTTTGCATGTTCGAGGTACTCCCATTTCTCATTCGTAATATAAGCAAGGTCCGTACCCAGTACTCCACAGTACGAATGTCGAGGTTCTCTGCAGGTGTTGCCTTCCTCGGGGGAATGTGCACTTCGCATCTGCGTGTTGCTGAAACAGAAGACACGCCTCATACATTCAGCTTGGTCCCAATTCTCGTTCACGAATGGGGGCACTCGTAAGTACTCGTATACAAACGGCACATGCGCGTTAATAAAATAGTGCACTAGTGCAACCTACACAATAAAACGAAAACGCAATTTATAAACTTTTAAGGGGTCAAGTGCGTAGGCCCTTTTCGATTTACTCGCGAAATTGTAATTTAGAGATTTATTCACCCACGCTGAAAAAGACAGCAGGCGAAAACAAAACAACAACAAAAAAAATGAGTAGGTTGTAGTATGCTGTCACCGGTAACGTATGCACGTTATCGCCCCCCAGTGTCCTGATTAATTTACTATTAGTGGATCACCGGACAACCAATGAGAAACCAATATCACCCGATACGAACGAAATTGCGTCCATTTCCCGCAGTATCGTTGCAAAGGCAGTGGAAACACAGAATGCAGTCCGTATTGCTTCGCAATAATGAAGCACCCAGGAACTTGATACGCATTTTGTACCTCGGCGACGCGAACATCGTCGTGCGTGGCGTCTCAGAAAAAGAGCAATGCCAAATATAGCGCTCCAGAGAGAATTCTTTCCGCCTGTCAACCGTCAAAGGCGTCGTCACTTCATCGTCGGTATCTCAGAGCCAGCTGAAGGGCTAACAAGGTCAAGTGACACCACCGATGACGTCACGTACGCAAGTTATTCTACTCCCTTTTTTCGTTTCCAGTGCTCAAAGGCAGCAGGGGGAGAGGCAGGAAGAAATATGGTGATTACATAGAAATATCGCATTTGATTCTTTTAAAGCGTTCATTTTGTTATGAACACCGGCCGACCTTATAAATGACTACAATGGTGTAAAGCAACAACCACGAATCACCCTTATTTTTTCCAATTCATTTCAATTCATCTAATACAATTTTGGCGACTCCAGCGAAATCGAGGGCCCCTAAAGTCAATGACAGGTCAAGAGTAAACTGGAAGCGACTACAACTCCCTTCCACTTCAGCAGAGCAGAAGCTGGAGAGGAGGCGGCCTCCTCTCCAGCGTTCGCTTTGCTATAGTGGAAAAAGGTAAGAGGAGCTTCCCTCTTTCCTTCTAAACTTTCACCAACTTTAGCGGCTAGAACCCAAAGCTTTCACGGCAGGTTCGGTTGTCTGCCTTTTCGAGCAAATCAGATATTCACAGCGCGAGTTTCGAAGACACGTGGTGAAAATCGCCAACATTCACGGGTAGCATTAAAGCCTACACCTCATACAGGGATGGACATGGTGAATGAATCAAGCAATCTTTCAACGAGCACGTCACTAACGAATCCCATGATCTGATTTTTTTTTCTAAGGCTTGGAATGGTTCACGATGGAGACAGAGCAAGGTATAGCACTCAAGCGTACCGAAACATAATTTGCGACGCAAACGATGGCTACACGATGGCACCTGTTGCCAACGGAAAGCGGAATGGAGAATGGTCTGTGTGTTCCTTGGAACACTTGCGTGGGTTTGTCAGGTAAGTTTTTGTATCATTTATTCGTGTTACTATCACACCTTATTTGACAGCTTCGACGCATACAGGGTGTTTACATTGAGGCAACTTGAAATAAATAAATAATATTTTAAAGATAATTGACGGATATTGTGATATGATAACCTTATGGCGCTATTTGTTAAATTTGCATCGTCATTTAAAAACAAACTGCAACAAATGCCGACAGGAATGCCATCGCACGTTGTAGGCATCTCGCCCAATTCCACAAGTCCCATGAAACATGCTGCCTGTGAAGTTACACGCTGTGCACATGCCGACATCTGGAGGACTAACAGTTACAAACGAAGTCTCTAAAACAAACTGCGCATTGGTAGCGTGTTCATCAACACTTGATTCGAACTTCGAACGTTTTATGGACCACCCCAATGTTTACATTCTGACCACCCACATTACGATCTCCACAGCCTAGCACGTGCACGTTCGCTACTTCGCTAAGCGAACAGATCACGCGCTATACGAACGAACGGTGAAAATGCCACCAGCCAGAAGCCCCTTGTTGAACACGTCATGAGGCGAGCCTGTGCAACACATGCACCTAAGTTCCAAAGATTCTCCAAATGCTCTAAAGACCCACTAGAGCGACAAACCGAAACTGCCCACACCGACATGCCTCCAAACACGTGGAACATGCACGCGATGTTACCTTTCGCAGGTTTTCTGTCTCTGTTCTGGTGAAGAAAGTGAGAATGATTGGAAGCCCGTCCAAAATCCGGTCGCGTGCAAGCTACACATGTCTGAGATTGTCGGTGTCAGTTGCATTTGTTTGTCGCTGAGTAAGTGAGAAAAAAAACGTTTTTTTTTTTATGTCAGAAGAAAATGAGCGCGACAAAAGGCGAAGGGGAAAGGGGGAGGGGGGGGGGGGGGGTCAAGCGGGACTTGTGCCCGAGTCTCACTAGAGCAACAAACCTAGACAACCGACACCAACAAACCCCAACCACGTGCGCCATGCACACGAAAATACCTTTGGTAGGCTTGCAGTATCTCGGTGCTCATGAGCCAGGCGGGAGTGACTGCAAGCCTGCGAAAGCTACCTTCGCGTGCTCACTGCCCGGGCTCGCGGCTTGTATATGTCGGTTGTTTGTGTTTGTCACTCTAGTGGGACTCTGACATAAAAGTCACTGAATCCTGGAAAGGTTGTGCCATTGCCTTTTCTGCCTGCTAGCAGAACAGAAACAGATACTAAAAGTACACGACAAAACCTTCGCAAGGCGATTGGTTGTTACGTCTCCGTTACCGAGGCAATCGCCATTTCGGTCCTTTTTAAGAGTAGAAGCTTCGTATGTGCCGTTCTAAACAAGCCGCGCCGAAATCTCTGTGGAATGTGACCTCACTGAAAGCATTCTTCACCAATATAAGCGTTTTTTCAGTATGTAATATACAACCAACTTACCAGGGATGCTTATCACCACAGATATCTTACAGTGATATAGTTTTGTTGTTGTTTTCTTGTATTTCAAAAAAAGGCAAATTATTTTTCAGTGCCTTCAAACACCGACGTCGCATATGGCGGTGCAACGAAGTGCACTTGTTTCGCCGGTGTGTAGATAACAAAAACTTGGTATACAAGAAATATCTCAGTAAAGCAGCCTGCAATAGCAAATTTTGATCAGTTTATCAAGGATTGAAAAGTCAAGGAACTTATCATTCCATGAACCGAAATGGCGACTATAAAGGAAGCTTGGTGCTAATTTTTCAGTCTCCAGGAACTTTGGTGGGACCCGGGCATAACTGTAGTGTGCCCGGCCAGTGAGCGGAGCATGTCCTCCATTCCTAATTTGTCGCTGACTGCGGGCAATATAAATGTTCTTCGTTTTCAGTACTCTATCCCAAGTCTGCTTTGATCGGACGGCAGAAAAGCATTACAGAATAAACATGACCCAACTTCCTGGGGCAGCACTCACCAAGTTGGAATTGTGTCGGAAAACGTACAAAGGCTTCGTGGATATGACTGTCCATCCCGTAAGTCCTCACCGCTTCAAAGCGTCAAAATAAAGCTATAAACTAAACAGAATAATCTTCGTTAAAAGCGCTCTGAAGGGGCTTCTGAGTTTGCCTAAATATGGCGAAAACGCGCACTGCATGCGTGCTCTCAGCATCCTCGAAATTCATAGATCATAACGATGCGCCGCCGATTTTTTTATTAAAAAGGAATCAACGATTGAACACACAGAGGTCATCTTGGGCTCTTTGAGGAGCATTGTTCCGGCAACCAGTATGATATCTGACTTATATATTAGAATGAAGCAGGTTAAGTTCTTTATTAGGGGAATCAATAAATTGCTTGTTAGGATTGATGAATTCAAAGTCACCGGTTTGATCATATTTACCCTAGGGTGCTAAAGTGTTGTTAGAGTGCTGCAGCGAAGTACCTTTTTGCAATTTTTACAAGTCGATGCAGGTGGGAAAACTACCTGATGATGGCAAAGTTGTCAATATCGTGTTAGTTTGAAGAGCGAATCTAAATGTAACGTTTCAAACTATACAGGCCAATTTCGCTTACCCCAGTGTGTTGTAAAATTGTTGAACATGTCTTGCACTCGGCGTTATTGAAGCACCTTGATTCGATCGGTGTTTTGAATGATCAACATCATGGGTTCCGTGCACGACGCAGTTGATCAAGTTTTATTATGATGTTCCCACAGTTCTTGATAATAGAAATCAAGTTGATAGTATGATTTGATACTGCCTCTCCATTCGGTATTACTGCAGAAACTTGAAGTCATGAATTGGTTAAGAGATTACCTAGCTTCAAGGCGCAACAGGTTGTGGTAAATGGGACATGTTCGGGTCGTCTCCTTGTTCGGGGCCACAGGGATCTGCGTTGGGACCACTTCTCTTTCTTATTTATATTAATGATATTTCCCGAGGAACTCATCAAAATACGTCCATTTGCCAATGATTGTGCAATGTACAGCGCAGTGTCTGCTGAAACAGATTCCACATATGCTTATAAAATAATTTAAAACGAATTGAAGCAAGGTTTAGTAGCAATATGATGTCATTGAAGACTAGCAAGTGTGTAAATGTCTACTTCACAAGAGATCATAAGAAATTGACTCATGAGTACTGCATCAGCAATGAAAATATTAGAATGCAGCCATCTTATAACTATTCAGGTGTTATATTTTCCGAATTCGGTGCAAGGGGAGCGCAAGTGGACAATGTCGTTTCCAGTTCAGTCAGGACACTTGGTTTTTCACAGCGCAACCTTACACATGTAAGCAAAGAGCTTAAGGAGGCAGCGTATAAAGCGTATATCACACCGATATTACAGTACGCCTGTCATGTATGGGATCTGTCTTACCAGGGTCATATCAGTGCAATATGACGTGCTCAATCTGTTGCTGCTAGGTTTGTTCTGGGTAGATACGATCATTTAAGTAGCACAACTCAAACGAAAAAGGAACTGGGATGGGTGCATTTAAAGGAACAATGTAAAAGGCTGCACCTCAAATTGTTTTATTTGATTTATCATAACCAAATAGGAATTTGTGCTGCGAACTTCCTGCATGCACCACCTCATCGTTCTGCTCATACAGACCATTGTTATAAGGTTCAGTCGTATTTTTCCAGAACAACCATTATAATACACACTTTTTTTTAACGAACCATCGCAGAATGGAATTCATTACCGCCCGAAGTGGTGTGCCGCGCGACCGTGGACCTTTTTTGGTGCATTGTGCCCCCTGAAAAAATGTCTGTACAGGCGCTGTGGGTTCCTTATGAATAAAACAATAAAAAAAAAAACGCGACATTTCGTTGATATTGCAAACGCCGTTATTCCGAAGTTTGTAGGCGTTCGTAGATGACAAAAGCAAATGAGAGTACTCAAAAGATGTTTTTTTTTTTGAAGAGATTGAACATAGTAATACTGCAATAATCGTCTGAAAAACAGCTAAATATATTGTTTCTTTGGTTTTCTTACGCGGGAATAATGTGTTCGGTCGTCAGCCCTTGAGCGAAAGCTCGCTGGATCGAGCCGTAGTCAGGGCTGTATGGGTAGCGAGCCGCGCTCATTCGAGATATCACTCCACGGTTCCATCGGTCGGAGGCGCGAGCATCCTTGGCTTGTTATTGGCTGACAATGAGTCTGGTTTCGGAACATGCTTTTTTCATCGCCGGAGATGACCTCGGTGTGTTGCGATCTTTGATTGCTTTTTTAATAGGGAATTCGGCCGCGCATCGTCATGATTTAGGGATATCTATGATGCTTAGAGCCAGCATACTGAGGTATTGCCATGTTTACGTGATCTCAGAAACCTTGTAAAAGCTCCTCTAAGATTCGGCCGTAGCGACACAAACAAACATGACACTGAATTCTTGAAGACGGCAGTGTGCGCGGGTTCGACGAGTGCTCTGGCTAATGTATTTGTTCTTATAAAAGCCTAACATCTGAAAAAGCTGTCCGAAAGGTGTTCTATGTCAGAAAAAAAAGATATCTGATAACGATAGTTCTCACCGAAAAGGTACGAGACATGTGCTCACATATCCTGGGTAGATATTGAGCTTTATTCGGGAAGTTACATTTCTAGGCACAGTTCAATAAAAAAAACTGGTTATGAGTGCAGTATTATACTATATACTATTCGGTTCGCAATTCACTTCTAGTAACAAATGTTTATGCTGTCGGACAGTCGGTGAAGCTTCTTATTCAACTCAAGCGCGACATTCAACCCTAACATGATTGTAAACCTGAGACTGGGGCAGGAAGAGAACACAACAGAAGGTAGTAAAAGAGGAGGCAACGTCTCAAACTCAGCTGCAAAGTTTATTTCGAACATGCTTTATTTACCCCATCTCTAACGACGTCTCTACAAAAAAAGAAAAAAAAAGAAAACAAACACACATGACAAGAGGAAAATGACACTTCGGTAAACCTTCTCTTATCTCTCTTCACCTTGGCTGTGGGACACTCACACAAAGGGACACATTCTAGCATAACCACCGCTACCCGGCGAACGTAGGTGAAAACACTGCTGAACACAAAGAAAGGGTTTGACCTTCAAAGGTGCTTTAGCACTTACAAATCACTCAGTCCAAAGAAACAATACTATACACTGCTACCAGCCGGAACTAGGGCCATCTCCAAAAATGAGAACGACATTGCCCTCCTACCACGAACCACAAATGGATAACACAGCGACTTTCTCGAACAAGTCCAAGGATACACATATAAACAACCCTAATACTAAAAAAAAAAAAAAAAAAAAAACTTTACAAGCGTAGAAATTGTTTACATTCGTTCCCAAACTGCAATGACGCCTGACTTATACAGTTGCCAGACGTTTTTATACGAATCGTTTCTTGGACTACACGTTTCATATCATTGCGTTCTTTGTGAATAACTTCCGTTTCGGACCAGTTGGCTTTACAATTATTACACTCTAGAAGGTGCCTCGCTGACTCGGAATCCACACTCCAAGTGGAATGCACCTCTGAAGGTCAAACCCTTTCTTTGTGTTCAGCAGTGTTTTCACCTACGTTCGCGGGGTAGCGGTGGTCATGCTAGAATGTGTCCCTTTGTGTGAGTGTCCCACAGCCAAGGTGAAGAGAGATAAGAGAAGGTTTACCGAAGTGTCATTGTCCTCTTGTCATGTGTGTTTGTTTTTTTGTTTTTTTTTTGTAGAGACGTCGTTGGAGATGGGGTATATAAAGCATGTTCGAAATAAACTTTGCAGCTGAGTTTGAGACGTTGCCTCCTCTTTTACTACCTTCTGTTGTGTTCTCTTCCTGCCCCAGTCTCAGGTTTACAATCATGTTCAACTTACACCAGCTCGCCTGCACTCTATTTTTTCGTTATTCAACCCTACAGTGTTTTTTTTTTTTTTTTTACAAAAAGGTTTACGAGCGCGCACAATCCCTACGTGATGTACTGTGAGCATGAGCAAGCGCGTACCGAGCAACATTTCAAAGAATTGCTCAAACGCAAGCTTGCTAAGAGATTTTTTTTTTGGTTTTCTTTATTGTTAAGCCAGTCTTGAAAATTTCTACTAACTTTTGGAATTGCTATTTGTGCTGTCCATTTTCATTTTCTTGGTTTCGGATCAGGGATGGGCGGTATTTCAAATACAAGTATTTGAAATACGTATTTCAAATACTTTGTGTATTTTGCATTTGTATTTAATTACAAATTGGGTAATGTATTTGACGTGTGTATTTAAATACTAAAACGTGGGTATTTCAAATACATTTGTAATTAAATACAATTTTGTGGGCGAAAATACATCCCTCAAATTTATTTTTACTGTCCAGAGCAGGAAGAAAACTATGTTCTGCACCGAATGCAGTGTCTCTCAATCAAGCGCAAGCGTTTAGTGACTTTGTGATTACGGTGCTAGTCCAGGGCAAGAATATTGACGAAATCGACGTTCACAGGCGGACTGGCTAAATAAGTGTCTGTGACAACTTGTCATGCTGTCCAGCCTGATTTCCATCCCTATTTTTGCCTGGAATATTCTAAATGCGCGGGTCGTCCAGATTTTCGTAACTGGTGCGAGTTGCAACAATAAAAAATTGTCTAGCTAGTGCTGCGCGTCTTGGTCGTCTCGGTTTTTTGTTGGTCTATACCAAAATGTAATCGACAAAAAAAGCTGCTTGAAGCTCTGTACTTTTTTCACCTATTACGTTTAAGCTGATTACATTTTTTTGTGATTATATTTCTATTATTTTACTAGAGCCTCGCACACTGACTCTCAAGTGTGCGATGCAAAATTAAAATGAGATACCCAGAAACCCGTTGCAGGTGCCCTGAAATCGCTGACGCAAATTTTGAGGAATGTATTTGTAAAAGTATTTGGAGTAGACCAAATACATTTGGTTGTATTTGTATTTTGTACTTAAATGCTTTTTTGGAAATGTAATTAGATTTGTAATTAAACACATTTTTGACGAAGTATTTTGTATTTGTATTTGGATACATATTTGCATGTATTTTGCCCATCCCTGTTTCGGATAAATTCTAAATGATCTTAAGGGCGTTGAATATATCTGACGGTCCTGGTGAACGTACGTTCTCATTTGAACTGTACCTTCTTGCTTCAGAAGAAGCGAATTATACGTTGCTGCAGCAAGCTAATTGTCCATGTTTTCTATTAGTAAAGGCTTCCTGTTACAATTATTCCAACAAATAAGGCCAACATGGGTTGATTTTGGCTAGATTCAGTGCACACCTACCATAACAAGTCAGTAACGAAGTGTTCTTTGGGCTGCCGTTTCTCTGCTTGAGTTTGAGAACAAGTGCTAATGCAAGCTGGCAAAGGTTATCTTTGAAAAAACAATACACCAGCTTTAAACAACAGGTAAACTGAAGGACGCCGTTCTTGCAGTTGTGTATGCCGCAAACGGTTTAAGCACTCACAAATGTGACAATGATGAAAACGCCTTACATGACTTCAGACACTACATTTCTAAATATACGTAAGCGTGGGGTAATCGCAGAAAAGTGTTATTAGCTAGTGTGCAAATCTGGTCTGCTTGGCTATTTAGCCGAGGTGTCCAAGTGCTGCACCTCTATTCAAAAGGCCCATTTTTTACGTTTCTGTAAAAACAAAAAGAAAATGTTGTACCAATTTTTTTTTATCACTAACACGAGCTGTCTTGCGAAAGGTGCCAAAAAAAACCCCATCAGATCGTATATTCTCGACGCTGCCACAAAACTAAATGTCAACCTTTCTTTACGACAGAATTATCTGAATGCCCGAACGTGCAATGTGTTTTGCTGCCCTTATAAGTACGGAAAGTGCCTAGAAGTTCCTCTTATGGATGGAATGGAATGTGCATACGGATATGTAAGAACTACTTTTTTGTAACTTGTATTGTAGACTATTTTTTATGAAAGACGCTCTGAGAAAGAACATTTCACTCATCTACATGTCGCTCGTGCAAATGCGTATTTCGCCACAATAAAATATTGCTCAAAGGCAGACTCAGAAATGAACAACGCTTGACAGGAAGTTAGTGAGCTCTGAATTGTAGGAGCATTAATTGGGGTGAAAAGAAGCGAGATAAACAAGTAAAAGGATATATGAAGAATCTCATTTTGTCATATGACTGAATATTTACATTTAAATTTCTTAAGAACACTATGAATCATTACAAATTAATATCTTGTTATACATATTAGGGTCGAAATTCGTTCTTGGGATTGTGAAATCTACACTATAGTATTTAAATCTCATATAGGTAGAGGACACATAGTATCTGCCGACATCGGTAGCTAATCTTATGCAACATAATTAGAATAACAGTAATATTTTGTTTCGATATATCCACGGAAGCCGTGCATTGCTACTGAATGTATATAGCTTAAGACTTGTTCACTTTGAACAAGTTTTTTACGGACAGAAACCAAATGACCTTTGCTAGAGCGCTGGTTTATTTTAGGAATTGCAAGCTGCTTTCATTAAATAACTAGAATTTTCATAAGACCTTGATAAACACAAAGCTAAGCTCATTTCAAGTTTTGACGCAATGACACCTAAATTTTTAAATATGTTAGGACATATTTTTTACTTGTTAAGAGCTCAAGTAGATTACTTATGCTGGCAAGATTAGAACTCAAACAATTTTGTATTTTTTAGAGAACCTCTTGAAGATTTCTTTTTTTTTACAAAAACAATATATAGAAAAATTAATCTTGTCAGCAGCGTTCGTTTGTTCATTAAAACACTGAACAACCTGAGGTGAATTTATTAAAATATACATAAAAACTCGTATTATAAGTCGCATGGCGCGTTGGACAACTAAAGGGGTGGTGCAACAATTTGGTTTAACTTTCAGTAAATACTGCTTAGGATAAATCATTAATATTTATAGTATGTAAAACATGCACTAGGTTTTTACTTCATGCAATGGCAGTTGAAAAACAAAACGGAAAAACAAGCGGCGTTCTCCTCACAACTTGCACCCAGAACAAGCGGTCACGTAATCTGGAGCCAGTAATGTGTCGTGAATCTGTGTAACAGCCACGTGCTGGGGTTGGTGAAGCACAGTGCACGCGCTGCGTTCCACACATTCTTAAGGTTCAGGTATTCGCGTCATCACAGGGATATGGCACGAGCTACTACGAGAATGCATGGCGAGGCATTCACTGCCAAATGCCCAATTTGAATGCTCTCGAAGTTCTCGTGTCCACTGTATGGGCCGCATTTAAATATCGTCATCAAAGGATTACAAAGCTTGAGGACGTAATATTTGGGATCGCATCGATGACAACGCCAACAATGCGATCTCTTAAACAACGACAAGAAGTTTTGAGAAGCTTCGACTGAAAGAAAGCGTTCGCTTTTATCCCTGAAATTACGCGGCGGCAAAGAAGCTTTTTGGTCAGGTGTATTGCGAGCGAGCGTACTTGGGTCCTACTAAAGACACTGGATCCTGGAAAAGTAGCGACATTGCCTCCTGTGCCTGCTAGCCGGACATAAACATATACTAACAGACAGACGACCAAACCTCGCCAGGTGTTCGGCTGATAATAGAAAACAATATTGAGAGTGAGTACTCTAAAACATAAACCACATCGGGAAACGGGGAAACATTAAATATCATGGGTACTACAAAGATGCCAGGGGTAGAAGAAACAACCGAACATAACATAGGGAACCAAACAAGGTCGCACCTCACATTTCGCAAGCGCACAAAACAAGGGCTATTTCCTTTACCTAATAAAAGACAATGCTAGCAAGGCGTAGCGTTCGGCCGATGAACGGCGGCACCCCCCCCCCTCCCTTTCTCTCTTCTCTCCGCTTTTCTCACACCTGTGCAAGAGGCGTGAAAGAAAAGTGAATGCGACCACCGAGCAGCCGGACGTAGAGGCAAGGTCACCGCCTAAGGAAGTTTTCCTCACCCAAACGAGAAAACTCGGGGCCCAGGTGACGAACCAGGGTACCCCGCAGTCGAGATAGCACGGGCTACATAGCAGGAGACCGGCATTACAGGCCAGCTGCCGCACAAAAATTTTGCCACAGCAGGGCGAAGTCCCCACGGGGCACCGACCACCGGACACACATTTCAGTAGCACGAACCCCGGAAGCAATGTTGCACCAAGCGGAAGCCAAGGTGCAACCTATTTGGAGCACTCAAGGTCGGAAACAATGCACCAGCTCATTGCCTGGTAGGAAAAACTCCCCAGCCCCGACGCCACTAAATATCTTCCACGGGTCCGGGAAGGCGACGAAAAAGCGACGAGGCACACGGAAAGGCGTTCCCCCTATCTCTCTGCTCTAGAATGATATGGGCCACGCAGGGCTCCACGATGACTCGAGCCGATGCCACTTCGCGCGTTTTGAGGTCTGCTACCGCCTGTCCCAACTCGTCATGGAGAGTCACCACAGCTCGGTAAAAAGATAACGTTGCTTCCGCGCTCGAGTAAAGGTTGTCCAACGCGCAAAGAACAGGCACGGAGCGTGGGACCCTAAAAGGTAAAGGGCCATGAACCGTGCAGTGTAGTTCCGTTCATCCAACATCCCCAGAATGGTGTCGAGAGAGAGCAAGTAGCATACCGAGTCAACACAGAGAGTGCCCCTGCCGCCCATTGACGTGGAGAGGAAGAAAACCGACCTTGTCACTAGCTTAGTACGCCTTCTCTAATAAAACCACAAGAGACAGGAGGTGACGCGCCGGTGAACCGAAGAGCGAAAAGTTAATGTGAGCAACATGGAAATATTGCTACACTGTCAAGGCATGCGTAGCTTCCGCAATGCCCCAACTCTCTCAAAGTGCGCGAGCGCATATGAATGAGACGCAACTCGAAGCCACGTGCTCAGCAATGGGGGGCTACAGCATTGTGGAGACTATAACGCTAGCGTTGACAGTGTGGCATCAAATAGTTGACATCAAGTATAGTTAAGCTCTGTCGCGGAGGGGCAGGGTGATGGCCCCGCAGCAGCAAGCAGACGTTCAAGCGCTGAGGTCACAGCTTCCCACGTGCGGGTGCCACTACACCAAAGTCAAAAAGCACGTCGAGGGTGCTGAGCTTGTTCACGACCTGGATGTCCGCAGATAGAGCGAAACCTCCGAACTCCAAAGCGTGGCGCTTTGTTGTGTTTAAACGCGCCTCAGAGAGAGCACGGTACACCGAGAACAGGTTGAAGCAGGCTCAATTTTGTGCGATTTGCGTACAAACTGACGACATCCGCGCCACGACCGCGTCCGTTCAGGCAGCGGAAAGCCACATATCCGGGAGCTGGACGCGAGACGTCGGGGACGCGGATTCAGGCTAAGAACGTAGAGAAAGAGACAGACTGCAGCCCTGTAGTACTTTCCTACTCACTACGAAACGCGAAAAAAGAAAGTCGTTGACTTGCAAATGGCTAGTCTGTTTAAGTCCCAGGGATGCAAAAGGCTCTCGGGACTTCGAACAGGAAACGATGTTCGACCCTGTCAAACGCCTTTGCTTCATTAAGGGAGACATAGGCCCCGCAACAGATGTGTATAATTGGCTTAGAAAAAGAGGCCGCGTGTGAGCGACAGCGATGCGAAAATGTTCCTCCCAATCACACAACACGTTTGAACTGAGCTGGCCACTTGGGGCAAGAACGTATGAAGGCGCAAAGCAACTTAAATCTTTTTTTCTAAGTGATAGGTCGCCATGCCGCGGGATTTGATGTAGATCCACCCCCTTTCGGGGGAAGAATAACTTGATTCCACCTGAGGGATGGTGGAACTTCGCATCTCTCAAGAAAGTCGTTCGCAAGCTGGACTGCTTATGTATTTATTGATTTGAGTGATCGACAAACAGCTTGACGCTTCATGATCAATGTCAGATATTAATGCAATTGTTCGGATGCGTTAAAAAACAAAAGGGTGTGACAGAACAATGGTAGCAACAAATTTTCTAAATTGATGCTCTTCATCAAAAAATATTAAGGCTAACACCTGCACAAATATGTTCTAAATGAATATATGTCAATTGAAAGCCTGTCACGGGTTATGAGTGATATAAATCAAAAGAAAGAAAAACAAAGATTTAAGTATACTAGGCCTACCAAGAACGCTCAAGTTGACGTGACTTGGTAGCGCTGGTGCATCAATTGTACCATTTATGATCTGATAGAGAAGCATCAATCCACGGATAGTCCTCCTGTTGAGCAACGTGTCCGATTTCACGAGGTCAAAGAGTCTTTCCTAACTGTACCACGAAAGAATCGAGACTCCTGGGGGGCCTAGAACGAGACTGTCGAAACCATTGAGCCGAAGCGTTCATGACTACAAGAAAAACTACTTTAATCACCGGTAACTGCGTTACTCACGCTTCCCAGTTCCGAACGAAAATCCTCGATAGGAAATGTAGCTCGCGCTCGGGCCCCTCTCCCCGAACATCCTCGTCTTCTTCCCGCTCCGAAGGCTTTCTTCATCCACCCCCCAAAAGGGAACAAAGTTCATTTTTTAACCACTTTCTAGCCCGTACACAAGTTGTATTGGTCGTTTTACAACCGCACCAGCGGGAAGTCGGATCTCGCAGACTCGCAAATCTTCCGTCTCTTCCGGAAAACAATGTTTTCCCAACTCCTATCTTCCAGACCTGGCGTGGATGCTGGCTTTTGTGAAGAATAACCAGGTACCCAACTTTGAGATGCAGGTTTGACCTCCATGTCTTGTAGAGTGATCGGAGTTACGCTAGGTACTCCTTTGACCATCGTTGCCAGAACTCTTTCACGAAGTCTTCTCTGAGTTTCCAGAGCCTTCGAAGTGATTCTGCGTCTCCGTTTTCCAAGTCGGAGCCGGACGGTTTTGGTACCGACGTAAGTCTTTTCCCTGTCGTGAAGTGGGACGGTGATAGTGGCTGAGG